GGGGGGGGTGCGGGGGTCAGTCTTGGGCCTTGAACTCTGGGCCTGGGCACTGTCCCTGAGCTCTTCAGCTCAAGGCAAGTGCTCTACTACTTGAGTTACAGTGCCATTTCTGGTTTTCTGGTGGTTTATTGGAGATGAGTCTCAGGGACTTCTTGCCCGGGCTGGCTTTGAACTGTGATCCTCAGATCTCAGCCTGCTGAGTAGCTAGAATTACAGGTGTGAGCCACCAGCACCCAGTCTTTGCCAAACATTTTTAAGGCCGAGTTCCATCCCCAGTATTTTTTGCAAAGAGCTGTTAAGAGTAAAAAAAGGCAACTCACACAATGGAAGAAAATATTTGCAAATCATTATGTCATAAGGAATATTCAAAATGTAAAGAACTCTTAAAACTCAAAACAAAGAACAACCAACAAAAAAAGGCCAGGCACCAGTAGCTCATGCTTCTAATCCTGGTTGCTCAGGAGGCTGAGATCTGAAGGTTTTGGTTCAAAGCCAGCGTAGGCAAAAATATCCAAGAAACTCCTATTTCCAATTAACCCCCATAAAGTTCAAAGTGGAATTGTGGCTTAAGTGTTAGAGCACTAACTAATGGGCAGTGTTCAAGTTCTGAGTTTAAGTCTCAATTCCATTTTTAGGAATAGACTGAGACCCCAGTACTAGCACTAAATAATATTTCTATTTCATCACTTCTATTTCTAGGAATAGATGCAGGCAGAGAAGTTGGCTTTTTTTTTTTCCTTTTTGGTCAGTCATGGAGTTTGAACTCAGGGGCCTGGGCCCTGTTCTTGACTTCTTTTGCTCCAGGCTAGAGCTCTGTCACTTTGAGCCACAACTTCACTTCGGTTTTCGGGTTAATTGGAGATAAAGAGTCTCATAGATTTTCCTTCCTGGGCTGACTTTGAACCATGATCCTCAAATCTCAGCCTGCTGAGTAGCTAGGATTACAGGCGTGAGCCACCAGTGCCTGGCTTCTGACTTCCTTTTTATTCCAACAAAATGAGCTGGGCTCCGGTGGCTCACACCTTGTAATCCTAGACTCAGGAGGCTGAGATCTGAGGATTGCAGTTCAAAGCAGCCCAGGCAGGAAAGTCCATGAGATTCTATTCTTTTTCTTTTTTGTGGGTCATGGGGCCTGAACTCTGGGCCTGGGCACTGTCCCTCAGCTCTTCAGTTCAAGGCTAGCACTCTACCACTTCAGCCACAGACTCACTTCCTGCTTTTTCTGTTTATGTGGTACTGAGGAATTGAACCTAGGGCCTCATGCATGCAAAGCAAGCACTCTATACTGAGCCACCTTCCCAGTCCCCATCCATACGATTCCTATCTCCAATTAACCACCAGAAAACCAGAAGTGGCACTGTGGCTCAAGTGGTAGAGTGCTAGCCTTGAGCAAAAAAAAACCTCAGGGACAGTGCCCAGGCCCTGAGTTCAAGCCCCCGGACTGGCAAAAAAAAACTCTTTAATAGAACATACAGAACATATGGCACTGACAGGAAATTTATTCTATTACAGAAAGTGCTACCCCACTGAATTGTTTATAGCTGCAATTCTATCCAACATTTTGTGCCGATCAGTTTCCCATCTGAATTACGATTCCTGTGGAAAAGAAAAAAACCTATTACTCAAGAAAAAAAATTAAATCCCTCCCAAGTAATTATGCTTCACAGAAGTTTAGAAATTTAAAAAGGCTCCGTTGCAACAAAAGATGTTTTCCCGTAACACTGACAGATGTCATACCATGTGCCAGTCCACATACCCCCCTTAGATCTCTTAACCCACGAGGCTTTCCCTTAAGGCATACAAGTCCTCACCTGCCAGATAGGCTCCCAGGTTTGGTTACCGACAGGTGCACTTGGTGGCGATCATATCTTCGTATTCTTTGTAAGCGATGGAGCCATCCGGCTCGATGGTCAGGACGCTCAAGGGACTGTATTTGCCAGGCACACATGATGGCCTGGGCACCGACGAATCTAGCTTCTCATAGATAATGTTCTGTACCATGGTGTGCACCGGAGAACCATACCTGTGTCTCACAGCCCGGGGACAATCCCCTTTACAGAATCGAGGGTTGTACCTGTGTGGAGCTACTATCCAGTTATCCCACTTGAGCTGCCGAAAGCTGAGTCTAAAGTCGTGCAGTTCGCACTCACCCGGGGGGAAGAAAAACTGCCTGAAGTATTCACTCAGGTTGAAGGAAGTCGGAAGCAGCGGCTTCTTCGATTCCGAGCTGAGGACTTCCTGACCTCTAGGGTGACGAGAAAGTCGTGGGGTCTCGGTCCCTCTCCTGTCCAGGTCAGGGCCCTGGGCTGGCCCTCTTTGATAGTGCAGGGAGTACCACCGGTGATACGCCTGCGCACTCGTGTCGTTCAGATATAGGATCAGCGAGGGTGGTACCAGGCGAGACATGTGGAGGGGTCCCTCCGGGCCTGAAGGATGCGGTGGCTGGGCCAGCCAACAGGTGAAATTGACTGTCGTGTGGATGCTGCGCTCACTGGAGTCCACCAGGGGCTGCAGGAGAGAGGTCACGTCGATCTCCATCCATTTGTGATTCTTCAAGGTACAGGATAGCGGAGCTGGGCTCGATCTGGACTCGTGGATGGCCAGGATGCACAGGCACGTGAGAGCAGAGGGAGGAGGGATGGAGGTGTTGAACGTGTAAAGCAGGACGGACTTGAGTAAGTGTTCCACGGCAGCCACGCGATCCAGGTTGAACTGCAGGGCGTCAGAGGGGAGCAGGCCTGGGGAGAAAAACTCACCGGTAGCATTGACTCCAAGGCCACATCAACCAAGAAATGTACTCATTACCTTGCTCATGTGACTAACTCCTCTGTACAGCATCTTTACAATAAAATAAAAAATTTAAAAATATAGGTCATGCCGGGTGCCGGTGGCGCATGGCTGTCATCCTAGCTACTTAGGAGGCTGAGATCTGAGGAGCACGGTTCAAAGCCAGCCCGGGCAGGAAAGTCCATGAGACTCTTATCTCCAATAAACCACTAGAAAACCAGAAGTAGCGCTGTGGCTCAAGCGGTAGAGCGCTCGCCTTGAGCTGAAGAGTGCAGGGACAGCATCCAAGCCCAGGGTTCAAGCCCCACGACCGACCCAAAAAAAAAAAAATTAGCCTCACGGACTTTCCTGATCAGGCTGGTTTTGAGCCGTGATCCTCAGATCTCAGCCTCCTGAGTAGCTAGGATTACAGGTGTGAGCCACCAGTGCCTGGCTTCTGAGCTTCTTTTACTCAAGGCTAGCACTCTACCACTTGAGCCACATCATCACTTCCAGCTTTTTCTGGGTATGTGATACTGAGGAATCAAATCCAGTGCTTCATGCATGCTAGACAACACTCTACCACTAAGCCACATTCCTAGCCCACCATAACTAATTTGAATGGATTTTTAGTTTGTGCCAGGACTGGTGCCTGGCCAAATGTGTGTGTGTGTGTGTGTGTGTGTGCGCGCGCATCCTGGGGCTTGAATTCAGAGCCTGGGTGCTGTCCTTGAGTTTTTGTTCAAGGCTAGTTCTCTACCACTTACAGCCACAGCTCCACTTCCAGCCTTTTTTGGTAGTTAATTGGAGATAAGTCTCATGGGCTTTCTTGCCCTAGCTGGCTTCAAACCGCTATCCTCAGGTCTCAGCCTCCTGAGTAGCCAGGATTACAGGCTTGAGCTCAGGCACCTGGCTTGGATGGACTTTTTATCTGCAGTTAGTCAGACCAGCTTTGATAGTAAAGCTACAGGGAGTGAATATGTGCTGCAGCTTCCCTCCTCACAGCTAGCTCCACACACAGAGGAGGGTAATAAGCAGAATTTTTCTTGTGGTGAATATAGGGGGAAATCAGCACCATAATTTTAAAAGAAAGCTTACCAGATTCAATAAAGACATTCTAGCTCACACTTGTAATCCTACTTAGGCAGCTGAGATCTGAGGATCGCAGTCTGAAGCCAGCTGGGCAGGAAAGTCTGAGACTCTTTTCTCCAATTAACCATCAGAAAACCAGAAATGGATCTGTGGCTCAAAAATGGTAGAGTACTAGCCTTGAGGACAGAAGCTCAGTTACAGGGCTCAGGCCAAGTTCAAACCCCACAACTGAAAAAAAAGATGTTTTAGGTACAGTTTCCTCACCAATAGTTTGGTAGAACAAAAACATGTGAACTTTCTAGTATCTTTTTTTTCAATATATATATATATATATATATATTTTGGTCGGTCATGGGGCTTGAACTCAGGGCCTGGGAGTTGTCCCTGAGCTCTTATGCTCAAGGCTAGCACTCTACTACTTTGAGCCACAGCTCCACTTCTGGCTTTTGAGTAGTTAACTGGAGATAAGAGTCTCATAGGGATTTTTCTACTGGCTTCAATTCGTGATCCCCAGATCTCAGCCTGGGAAGCTAGGATTATGGGCATGAGCCACTGGCGCCCAGCTGTTTTTTCCAATCTTTAAAGCCACTAAATCTTTTTGTTGTTGTTGTTGTTTGTTTGTTTGTTTGTGGGTTGTGGGGCCTGAACTCTGGGTCTGGGCATTGTCCCTCAGCTTTTCAGCTCAAGGCTAGCGCTCTACCACTTGAGCCACAGAGCCACTTCTGGCTCTTTCTGCTTAACTGGTGCTGAGGAATCAAACCCAGGGCCTCATGCATGCTAGGCAAGCTCTCTACCACTGAGCCACCTTCCTAGCCCCATCTTTTAGTTTTAAAATTCTAAATTCTATCTTCTTAGCCCTTATTAAGTAATGAGGGCATTAAAAAAAAAAAAAGCCCAGTAAGACCAAATATGAGCGCTAGGTAGGGCTGTAGCTCAATGGTCGAGTGCTTACCTAGCATATTCAATCATCAGTAGCACTACTACGACCACCTGAATACATCAAGATACATCACAGTCCCGCCCCTTCCTATAACCAAGTATCTTTGGAACCCAACATGTCAGTACACACCTGTAATCCCAGCACTTGAGAAGTTTGAAGTTCGAACACAGAGTTCCCAAGGCCAGTCTGGGCAACAGAGTAAACCCCTTATCTCAAAAGGCCAAAAACAAGGTGGGTTCCAGTGACTTACACCTGTAATCCTAGCTACTCGGAAAGCAGAAATTGAGAGGATCATGGTTTGAGGCCAATCCAGGCTGAAATTTCTGGAGAGATAGGACTTGGTAAAACATACTTGTCATATCGTAGCTACAATTCTAACATAGGTGGATTGTGGTCCAGGTGCCTACATTGGCAGGAAATCTCTATCTTTAAAAACAAACAAAAAACCCCAAAAGGCTGGGAATGTGGCATAGTGGTACAGCACTTGCCTACCAAGAATGAAGCCCTGGGTTCAATTCCTCAGTACCATGTCAGCCAAAAAGGCAGGAAGTGGCATTGTGGCTCAAGCAGTAGAATGGCTAGCCTTGAGCAAAAGACTCTCAGGGACAGTGCCAAGGCCCTGAGTTCAAGCCCCAGGATTGGCAACAAAACAAAAAAACAAAGACAGGGCTGGAGATGTGGCTCAGCAGTAAGACAGCCTGGCTAGCAAGCTGGAGAACTTGAGTTCGAACCCCAATATTGCCAAAAAAACCCAAATCACCACAACTCCATAAACTTCACTTTCCACCATTTAAGCACTTTTACATACCTGTCACCTGGTCTCCAGAAGCCTGTTTGTTCTGAGTACTGGGAGTGAAGAGCCGGACAGTGTTGTGGAGGTGACTCTTACTGGATTTCGGAACCCCCTCTTTAGTAGCATAGGCTTTATAGAGCTTCTTCATGTAGTACAGTGCTCGGGAATCTGGTTGCAGCTTAGGAGATTCACCTCGCCTATCGGATAGGACCTTGAAGAGAGGAGGAAAGAGACCGGATCTGTCTGCCCCATCCACAAGCTGTAGTAAGGACCAAGGGTCTACCTCAGATTCAGACTCAGCATTAGGTGTAATCTTAGCTTCTCCCCCAAAAGTCTGAGAACCAAGGCTAAGATAAATAGGGCCATAGAGCCAGGCCAAGCAGCAAAACCATAGCAGGGATTTGCTGGGAAGTGCCATGACTTGAGAGAACTAACAAGAACAACATTTCCCCACACTGGTCATCTTCCTAAAGGGAGAAAAGCCCTCGCTAGGTCTCTTAAATAAATTTTAGGTGCGAGAATGGATGAGCATCACTTCTGGAATCAGACCTCAAGGGTACTTAGCTGAAGATCATTTTTATCAACTCTACTGCAGTCAGCTGATCACATCCTAATTATTTAATTTGTCCTCATGAGATTCAAATATATTTGGTTATGTAGCCTATTTCCCTGGCACTTACACCTGTCAAGATTGTCCATATCCTAATGGACTAGCTCTCTTGCTGAAAGTCTAAGAGAAACAGATAAATTATCTTCAAATAAAACCTCTCAGGGGGCTAGGAAGGTAGAATGCTTGCCTTGTATGCATGAGGCCCTGGGTTTGATTCCTCAGCACCATATAAGCAGAAAAGGCTGGAAGTGGCACTGTGGCTCCAGTGGTAGAGCACTAGGCATGAGCTGAAAAAGCTCAGAGACAGCGCCCAGGCCTAGAGTTCAAGCCCCATGACCGACAAAAAACCACCACCACCAAAAAGGACCTCTCAGCCAGAAGCTGGTGGCTTATGCCTGTAATCCTAGCTACTCAGGAGGCTGAGATCTGAGGATCGTGGTTCAAACACAGCCTAGGCAGAGCCCAGGCCCAAAGTTCAAGCCCCAGCATCAACAACAACAACAAAAATTCTCAGGGTCAAGGATGTAGCTCAATGTCATTGTTTGCCTAGTATGTTAGAGGCCCTGGCTTCCATCCCATCCCCAAGGCAAAAACAAGTACATCTTTTCCAATCTCTCTCTCTCTCTCTAGCTCTCTCTCCTTGCTTTCTCTCTAAGTCAGAGTCTGGGTGCTGTTTTGCTCAATCTACTGGAGCACTTAAGCTACATCCTTTGCTTCTAGGTTTTGGGTTTTTGTTTTTGTCAGTCATGGGGATTGAACTCTGGGCCTAGGCACTGTCCCTCAGTTCTTCACCTCAAGGCAAGCACTGTACCACTTGAGCCACAGTGCCATTTCTGGTTCTGGTGGTAAATTGGAAATAAGAGTCTCAGGGAGGGCTGGGAAGGTGGCTCAGTGGTAGAGTGCTTGCCTTGCATGCATGAAGCCCTGGGTTCAATTCCTCAGCACCAGTTAAGCAGAAAAGGCTGGAAGTGGCACTGTGGCCTAAGTGGTAGAGTGTTAGCTAGTTCAGGGTGGGGGAGGGGGTTTCATGGACTTTTCTGCCCCAGCTGGCTTTGAACCATGACCCTTAGATCTCAGCCTCCTGAGTAGCTAGGATTATAGGCATGAGCCACTGGCACCGGCTGGTTTTTTTGTTTGTTTGTTTTGTTTTGGCTGGTTAATTGAAGAATCTCAGAAACTTTCCTGCCAAAGCTGGCTTCAAACTTCCATCCTTAGATCTTAGCCTCCTGAGTAGCCGCCATGACAGGTGTGAGCCCTCAGCTCCAGGCTCAACTCATTTTTTTTTTTGCTGGTGGTGGGGCCTGAACTCTGGGCCAAGGTGCTGTCCCTCAGCTCTTCAGCTCAAGGCAAGTGCCCTACAACTTGAGCCACAGTGCCACTTTCGGCTTTTTTCTGCTTATGTGGTACTGAGGAATCGAACCCAGGGCCTCATGCATGCAAGGCAAGCGCTCTACCACTGAGCCACCTTTCCAGCCCAACAAGTAAGATTTTTTTTTTAAATAATATTTCTTTTGTGCTTGTTGAAATTCCCAAGGCCTATGACAAAGCTGTTGTGCTGATAATATTCAGCACATGTTGGCATGCAATTCACAGTGCTGGCTTACTCTTCCTCTTGGTTAATTCTCCTCAGAACACCATTTCCATATGTAATTATTTACTGCTGTTGGTTTGGAGAAGGGAGGAAAGGCACAATTTCTAACAGGTAAGAACCAGCTGAGTTCAACTTTTCTCAGGTGGCTTAGTATAGCCTAAGCATGTGCTTAGCAAACTGCAGCAGTACTTGAGGACTTTACATCTAGCCATCACTAGTTTTAAAAATATAAAAATCTTGATGTCCTTACACTAGTCTGTACATTCATCTGTAGATATTTTGGCTGAAAGGTTTTTGAGATGATTGCAAATACTATTAAATAATGGATTTAAAAAATATATGTCGGGCGCTGGTGGCTCATGCCTGTAATACTACTCAGGAGGCTGAGATCTGAGGATCAAGGTTCAAAGCCAGCCTGGGAAGGAAACTCTGTGAGACTTATCTCCAATAAGCCACCAAAAAAACTGAAAGTAGCACTGTGGCTTAAGTGGTAGAGCGCTCCCCTTGAGCTGAAGAGCTGAGGGACACTGCCCAGGCCCAGAGTCCAAGCCCCACGACTGCCCCCCCAAAAGATAGATAGATGGAGTGAGAGAGTGTGAGAGTGAGATAGATAGATATAGATAGATAGATAGATAGATAGATAGATAGATAGATAGATAGATAGATAGATAGATAGATAGTTGTGGCTCACACCTAAAATCCTAGCTACTTGGAAGGCTGAAATCTGAGAATCACAGTTTGAAGCCAACTTGGGCAGGAAAGTCTTTGAGACTCTTTTTTTTTTTTTTTT